GGTATGTTGGTGTATTGTCTGTGGCTTATAGAAAATGACTGCTCCCATAAATTAAAAACTGTTCAATTAGCCCAAATGCCTTTTGATTCTCATGACGTAAGCAAATATTTAACAAGTTAAACTCGTGGGTGAAATCAAAGTGAGGATAGCTTTAAGGTCACTGGCACACATTGCTGCCTGGGCTGTGGACCTGCCAACCAACCAGGGAAATATTGGTCTCTCTTAAATGTTTAACATACAACGAACACTGCTTTCTATATACAGCAACTTTTAGGGTTTTGGCAATAAATACATAATTATTTTTTTTTAGTTTAGCAATGAAAATGTTAACAGAAGTCCACAGATATAGAAAAGACACACTCATGCACACGTGTACAAATACATACACACATACACTTTGTACCTACGTGCCTTCTTGAAGGRCCATTTTAGTTTAAAAATAATTTTGATTTTACACTAAATTTAATGTAAACATTTTTGCATTAAAGTTYTTTTTCTTCTTTTTTTTAGTTATATGTGACAGTAGAATGTATTTTGACATATCRTATACATGGCGTATAACCTCCGATTCTTGTGGTTGGACATGACATGGAGTCACGCTGGTYGTGTATTCATATGTGAACATAGGAAAATTAYGTCTGATTCATTCTGTCATTCCCATTCCTATCCTCCTCCCTTCTCCTCATTCCCCCTTGTCCAATCCTGTTAACATATATTCCCCYGCCCCATTGTGGGTCTAGCATCCACATATCAGAGAGAACATTCAACCTTTCACTTTGGGGGATTGGCTTATTTCACTTAGCATGATAGCCTCCAGTTCCACCCATTTACCAGCGAAATGCCATAATTTCRTTCTTCTTCRTGGCTGAGTAGTATTCCACTGTGTATATGTACCACTGAAGTTTTTGGTTTTGCTCTTAAACTGTCCTCTCAAGAAAGCAAATCTTGATCCCAACAGGCTTTTTATTCTGATTTTCCTTTTTTTTKGAGCATGCAAATGTAAAGGACAGAAAAGGCTACTTGCTCATCCTATGAGCCCTCTACACTTTGATATTAGTGTTTAGTAATGTTTACTAATATTTASGTCTCAAAAATATTTGAGTGAATGGTTTCATTTAGAAATTAGTAATTAAATTTTGCATCTGTGGATATGGGGAGAAGAAAAGTAGCATACATTTTTTTTCCAGATTAGACATTTGTATTGACAGATAATTTACAGAACATGTTATGTGTTAGCTCTTACTTTTAGAAAATCTTCAAAAATGGTTTGGGTATTTTAATTGGAATTATGTTATAATTTTATTACTATCATTGTTTACTTTTAGGAGAAATCTGATATTTTTATGCAAAGCATTCTTTCAATCCAAAAACAAGATATGCCGTTCCACTTATGTTGTCTTTAACTAGATCACTCAGCAGTTATCTATGAATTAAACTCTTATGAATTTTACCTATTTCTTGTTRATTTTACTTTAGGCTTTTTATACTCTTGAAATTATCATTTGGAATTTTTATTTCATTATATTTCTCAGTTGTCTATTTTAGCACRTGGGATAAATATTGGGTCTCATCCTGATTGATTCTTGTTCCCAAGTATTTCACAGAGTTATCATTTCTCATATTCTCAGTTAATTCTCTTAGGTTTTCTAAGTATACGGTCATATCTATGGAAAATTCCGCTTTCTTCTACCAATATATTGTACACATGCTTCTTTCTCTTYCTAAATGCATTGGCTGATCTTTCTAGAACAATGTTGAATAATTGTGATGGTAATAGGCACCCTTGCTCTATTCACAGATCTAACAGGAAGACTTTGAGTTTCACCATTAACTGTGAGGCAGACTTCTAAAGTAAGAGATGTGCTTATAACATCAAGAGATGATCTACTATATGARTCACTAAGAATTTTGTTTACTATGTATTTGGAAGTAGATATTGATTGGGGGGTGAGGAGGTACTGGGGATTGAACCCAGGRGKGCTCTACAGATWAACTACCTTCCTAGYCTTTTATTTTGAGGCMGGGTCTCACTAARTTGCCCARGCTGACCTGGAATTTGTGATCCTCCAGCCTCAGCCTCCTGAGTGGTTGGGATTACAAGCCTGTGCCACCATGTCTGGCAAGATGCTGGATTTTTAAAACATCTTCCTGGTGTTGTTTTGTTCCCTTTTCAGTTATTATGATGAATTATATTAACATATTTCCTAATAATGAGATTTGCAACCCAACCTGAGTGTGATGTGTATTAATATTCTGCTGAATCCTATTTGATATTATCTTATGTAAAATTTTTTCATAGATGCTCATAAAGAGGATTTATCTGCAGTTTTTTATTCTTTCTTTGAAAAAGCTTTGATAACAGTGCTGTATTGGTTTTTATTATGTTAGCAGGTTTCTTTCTCTATGATGAAAAAATTTAAATATGCCTACATTTTTTTTCTTGAAGATTAAAAAAAAATAGTTAATGTGATACCTGACCTGATATGTGGCTTCCTAATAATATTTTCGGTGTTTTTCATGACTATTATTCTACTTATTTAACTATCTCTTCTTACATAAAATTTGGTAATTTGTATTTTCCCAGAAAATGATCCATTCAAAGTAGGTTTTCAAACGCTGTATCTTTCTTCATTCTCCCTTCCATCTTGATTAGGCTGTTCAATGGTGTATCTATTTATTTTTCATGGAAAAGCCTTTGAGTTTATTCATATATTCTATTGTGAAGTTTTGGATTGTTTTATTCATTAGTATCTGCTTTTATCTTAATTGGGTTTGTTGATGTTTTCTTCAGTTCTTGACACCAATATGCCTATTTCATTCATTTCTAGTTTTTCTTCTTGTAACTCTTTCCAAGGGTTTAATGAATTTCCCTAGGAACAATTTTAGTCATAACCCTCAGATTTGGATATGTAGTGTTTTTAATTATCATTTTGGGGTCTCAATGTTTCTTTTTTTTTATTTCTCTTTTGTCCTCAAAATTGATTTAAAGAGGTATTTTTTAATTACCTGTTGATAAGATTTTTCCCCTCATCTTGTGATTTTTTTAAAAAAACTAATGTGATTGCATTTGTAATTGTCCCAGATCGTCTTTCTGACCTAAAAGACGGCTGACTTCTACAGATGATCCACGACTACTTAAAAGGAAGTGAGTTCTCTGTTCCTGGGACCCAGAGTTCAGTCTTCATCATACCATTCAAATCGAACGCTTCCTCATTCCTCATCCACTTGATCTGCTGGGTCTAAAGGTGTCATCTGTGATTGTCATTGTGCTGAGGTTTATTTCTCTTTGGTTTCCTGCCTGCCTAGGCATCGGGCACTTTGATGCCATAATATTTAATTCCAGAGATTTGTGAGGCTTGGAGACCTCTATTTTAACCACTTCCACTTCCACTCATTCGGTGCTGTTTGTCTTGACAGATCTTGTCCATCCTTTCAACTTTCCA